CCCCCCCCGCTTCCGTCAGTGCCCTCATCACACATTTTGCCATCCTGAAGGCAAGTCTGTGACATTCACATTTCTCTCTAGTGACCAGCCCTGCCTCCGTACATAGTACATAGCAAATGTCTGATGAATAAATAAATCAATAAAGGAGCAAATATAAATTTCACAGACACCAAGGTGCCAAAAAGTAGATCAGCGGCTCTAAAGAGACAGCCCCCTTGGCTTCCTTTTGCTATACCCAGAGCAAAGGTTTCTTGATGTAGTCATAACAATGCTGAGCACAAAAGACCTGACTGATGTCGAAGACAAAATTCACATCCTAAACACCTGTGACTATGAAACTCCTGCAGTACATTTTGCAGAAGCGAAGGAGAGGGCCCTGGGCCTGCGGTGGGTGGCACGCTGCCTTCCTGAGCAGGCTTGACTGGCTGGCTGGCTCTAGTCTGCTCTGGACCCCGTCCTTTGCTAAGGAGGGTGTTCGGGTTCCTTGAGGAATTAGGATCTCTTCGATGAGATATTTCAGAGCTCTCTTTCGAGACTGGCAGTGAGGAGCCACTGTGTCAGCCTCCCATTGGTTGAATAGTGAGATGGGACTTTTGCAAATGGTCTATACAGATGGACATGCTGTAAGTGCCGTATTGAACTATTATGAGTCCTTGGCCCCCTTTTGTCAGTGTTGATGGTACACAGAGGATTTTCATTTTGTCTTTGTCTTTGAGGATCTGGCATGGTAGAGGTTCACCATTCTTCAAACCAAACCCCAAATAAGAAAGACATCTGGCAGAGAATGACTGTGTGGGTGTGGGCGTCAGAGAAAGAGGGGACACTAGAAACTGAATCATGTGTGGCATGTACCACCACTTGGGCTTTGGGCTGAGTCTGACACCTGCTGGAAGCTTCCCGCCCCTCTGTCCCTGCTCTGTGCCCACCAGACTCCTATCTGAGCTGAGGTTTCAGTTCCTTTAATCAGTAGAGTTATCTAAGCATAGCTTGCTTGCTCTCTCTTTTTCTGTTTGTGGTAGATCTGAGCTCTAGGAAACAGATTAAAAAATAAATCACTTGACCTCAATGAGAGAGGTTTGCATTGTTAATGACACTGGGTAAAATCTGAGTAAAGGCTCTGTGATAACTTTTTTACACGCGTCCCTGCATTTACCCCTCACGTTGACCTGGGAGGTGAGTCCTGTTATCATGATCCCCATTCTACCGAGGAGGAAAGAAAAGTAAATTTTGAGGATGTTCACAAAGATTTGACAGCTCAAACTAGGCAGTAAGGGAGCAAAGAGATATTTTCAGAATAGTATCAAAATGTTCTTAGCAACACTTTATTATCCCAAATAGGAGGTAAGCCATTCTCTTTCTAGTATTTCACATCCAACTGGTTTGTTTGGAAACCTTATTTTTAATTGATGGTGTGGGCCGGGGGTCAACAAGCTGTGACGCCCAGACCAGATCCAGCTGGCCACCCAAAACTATACGATCTGCAAGCTGAGAATGGCTTTTACGTTTTTAAGTGATTGGCGGGGGGGAATATTATGTGACACATGAAACTCATATGAAATTCAAATTTCAACTTACCCTTTCATATCTCAATTCAGTTCCCTTTAATGTCTCACACCCTCAGTCTCTTCAGAGGTTATCAGGCTGTTTTGTGCTTTGTTTTGTTTTGTTTTTCCAAAAGGACAATCTCTGGATAAAATATGGAGCACTGCTTTATATTTCTGAGCACAGCCACCTGGGGCCCTCTTGCAGAGATCACCCAGTGATCTCAGGGTAACCACTTCTTCCCAGAATCGCTCCCTGTGGCCCCATGTAGCCATTTGGAAACATGAACCCATTAATCTGTTTAAAGCACTTGATACTCTACCCAGAAAAACTCAGGCAAAATTTCACATGCACTGTTTCTCCCAGAGGGTTTATGGACCCCATAAAACCCACCCATGGTAGCCTTAAGGATGAGCGGTCTCAGTTTGAATCGCTACCGTAAGACATTAATTACAAAAACTTATTGTATGCTCCTCCAACCCCTGCACCTTCTGGATGGATTTACATTTTCCAGGGGCAAACTTGGCCCAACTGAAGGGGCCCAGACTGTGCTGGTAGAATTTTAATTTCAGGCTCTAGCAACAAGTATGCAGTAGAGAAATTTGGGGTCAGGGGCAACCCATTACTTATTATTTAGTTATCGTTTAATATACTTTTTTTTGAAAATTTCAAACACAATTATGACTCCATACCAACACACCTCAGAGCCCCATATCAAAGATTTAATAGCTGGAGTCCTGTCTAAACAAAGTTTGTATGCCAGAATCATAAACATAAAAACAGAGATCACCCAGCGATTAACACACTGATGTTTTACAGGATGAAAACTCATATTATGTCAGTGAAGTGGGAGCCTATTTGACTGTCTCAAATCCAGGTAAGAAGCTGAAGCCTGTTCTACCAGCAGGGACACTGGTTCTGTTTAGCTCATTTTTCATCCCATTAATTTCTTGAATCTTTAACGCTGCTTTTCAGAACCAGACTGAGAGAGTAGCCCACAGTATATATAATTTGGGGGGAACTTAGTACATCTTTGTGTACTTCAGTTTGCTTGTCTGCTCATGGAAGAGGCTAGGCTACATTATGTCAGAAATCATTATCCTCAACAGTAAAGAGCATAGTGACTTTGGACAGATCTGTTGATGGTGCAGTTTATTTTATATTCTTGGAATCATGCATTCATTCCACAAAAATGTAGTTAGTGGCTGCTAAGTGCCAAGCCCTGTAATACACTGGGAACCCATTATCATCTAAACATACAGTCTCTGCTCTCAGGGAGCTTACATTCTAGAAGCTGGGGGAGGACCATAAACAGACACAGTAAATGATAACACACAGTTAAGTAGTGATAGTTCTATGAGCAAAATACAGGCAGGGTGGGATGGAGAGGACTGGGAGGTTACTTTAGGTAGGGAGTTAGGGAAGCCCTCAGAGGAGGAAGCCCCCTCTGAAGAGGTAAGCTTTGAGCAGAGAGATATGGGGACTTCTGGGCCTGGGGGAGCTCTTTCCAGGTGGCAGGAACAACAGATGCACAGATCCTGACGAGTGTACTTACTGTTGTGTTCAGGGACCAGCAGGGGCCAGTGAGCAAAGCAGCAGATGAGGTGTGAGGGGCAGCCAGGCCACGGCATGCAGGGCCTGTGGGCAAAGCAAGGAGAGGACTTTGGAATTTATTCTAAAGTATGAAAGGATGCCATTGGATGGCCCGATGTAGAAAAATGATGTATTAGATTCACATTTCTAAATATTTGGCCTGGTTGCTAGATGGAGAAGTGCCCACAGTGGCAAGTTGAGAGAATGTCTACAATGTTCGCCCCTAGAAAAGTAATGCTCCCAATCAAGTCAGGTTGTTTCTCAGAGGCCTCAGGTGTTTCTCTGGAAAGCCCAGATTTAGATGACAAATCGTTACTGAGCATCTCCTCTGTGCCAGGTACTGTACTAAGGGTTTTGAAAATTCTATTATCTTAGTAAGGAACTTATACTGAAAAAATGTGCCAAGAAATGAAAATGTGGAGAAATGTCTATTTTAAATATTAGCTATATTATATTGCTATTGTTCAAGAGGATTTTGTCAAGGATTATTGGTAAAATGTAAGTAGGATGTCACAGCCAACAGCTCCCTTTCACATACGTTACCTTGCTTAGATGGGTATACTCCTAATACTGTGAATGCTAACATAAATTAGCTAATGCTATCACTAGGCATGCACCACATTTTAGCCAATAATAAGGTAGTAATGTCTTAAGAGGCAGGGAAAGGGAAAGTAAGGCCAGAAACTAATTTAGAGGCTGAGGGAGGGGATAAAACAACTCTAGACCCCCATAAGCAAGGCTCAGAAGTAGCAGCAGGAGCTGTACATGTCTGATACCACAGTAATGATAATTCTCATGGGGGGGGGGTATTAGTAAGAGTAGTTAGTTGTAATGACCACTGTAACTTTAGCAGGGGTGGTAGTAGTGGACTGCTCTGGGATATAAACGCACGATACAGCAGTGTACACAGATAATTCAGTACATCAAGCAGGGCGTTCGCATCTACAAATGCAAGAGTCTACAGTAATGCCAAACAGAGCACCAGAAAACGTCCCCACAATGCAAGAGGGTGATTTTTCATGAGGAGAAGGCAGAACTCCAGAAAGCCACACCTAAGGGAAGGCCATTTAACTGCTCAAGGGCCACCCAGCAGTAGCTGGAACTCAATAGATATATGCCAAGGTTCTCATACGTCTGTATTTCACCTTTGTGTTTTCAGAGACAATTTACCAGGGAATGAAGAGTTCTGTGATGCTGTTTGAGACAGTGATCGGGCATTCCTTTAAGTGCGTGAGCGAGCAGAGCATCCAGCTGTCAGCCCACCTTCAGCTGAAAACAATGAATGTCCAACTTCAAGCCTTTGATTTCGAAGATGACCACTTTGGAAATGGTAAGTTAAGGCTTCCTCATGTCACAAACATAAACTTCAGAGACCCACGGGTGGTTTCAAGTTTTTTGGTGTTTTTTGTCTGAAGCTGTCAAAGGGACAAGAATCACATGAGCTTCCTAGAACAGTATGATTTCACAAAGCTCTTTAGGGCCAAGTTTCTCTGGCCAACCCTCCCTCCTACCATTTCTCTATGAGTCAATACCAGCCTCAAAACCAGACACTTTAACCCAATTGAACTTCAGAAGAATACTCTCCTTGTCTGACCAAAACACATATTCTGAGTTATTTAAACACACACACCATACCACACCACACCAATCAACAAATAAGTCAGAAAACACCATCTGCAACCTTCCCTTTATAAGCTGTTGAGTACTAGTAAACTCAGGTATGTTTGGAGAACACTTTAAAGATCCTGAGTATTAGTGATGTCTGAAATTCAAGATTTCAGAATAGATTCCCACTTACAGAAGGAAACGAGAAAAATGTCATAATTCAAGATAGAGATGCACTCAGTTGGACCTGCTCTTCTCAATTGCAAATTGTTTCTTCACAGCTAGTCTTAGTTTTCATGTAACTTCTGCTTTGGTTTTTAACCACCACAGAGGGAAGCAGGTCCTAGAAGGAAGGCTAGGGGCAGACCAGGGTAACTTTCCCAAAAAGTCCCGTTTTCCCTGTTGGGAAAACAGTGTTACAAGGATGTCTGCAAACATCCAGGAATTGAACTTCAGTTTCTAAAACATCCCTCTCATAATAACTCAAGTATAAATGCTTGGCCTGGACAAAGACAATGGCCATCCCAAACAGTAGACTCCCGACTCCCACATTCTCAACCCCTCCTCCCTAAAATCCTGGAGCCAGAGCTAGCAAAATGTTTCTCCGTGTCAGGAGCCCCCAGCTGACCAGCAGCCCCTCTAAGAAACACAGAGTTTGAATAGAAAACTTTGTCCATGTGATCTGGTACAGGTCTCTGTTTCTGGAGTTGGGAACCATGGCCCCAGGGCTTACCCTAGCTTGGGAGTCAAGACACAATTCTGCTCCTGACCCTCTAGACCAAACCAATGTTTCTCCAAGATGGAACTGCCTCCCAGCTGCATCAGAATGGCCTAGCCCCACCTCCAACCCACTAAATCACAATTTCTTGGGCTTGGGGTCTGGGTATCTACAATTTCATACACTTACACACCTTAAGTGACCTCAAGCACACATTCCAGATTGGTGTGCGACGCTTTCCCTCCTGGTTTGCACCCATCGGTGTGTCTGAGGCAGCAGGTGGGAGGCCCAGCAGCTCGCTCGCTCCCTTGGCTTCCTTCTCTGCAAAGCCGGCTGAGGCAGGCAGGGGCAGGATGGATCCCCAGCATTGTGGCCGGCCTGTAACACCTGTTACTCTGCCTTCAGTTACAGTGGATGAATGCTTCAGTGACATAAACAAGAGAGAAATCCCTGTGGCCGTGGGCCTGAGTATCGCAGGACTGCTTGTCATCTTGCTAACAGCGTGCTTGGTGGCCCGAAAGAGGCCCAGTAGAGGATATGAGCGCATGTAAAAGCCCGGCTTCTTCAGAATGTGCAAGATTAAGGCCTTGGGAATTCTGGCTTCATATTCAGCCTACAGTGAAGGGATCAGTTTTTCTAGTCGCCTGTCCCACCCTCCCAATCTGATTAGGAAAGCCAGCTTTCCATCAGAAGGCCAGCCAGAAGCTGGCTGACATGTAGCTCCCTCCCCTTTCCCCTGTGCGCGTGGGGAGGCCCTGCCACACGGGCTCGGGTTCCACCTTCCCACCTGATGCTGCGGGCTGGCTGTGAGCATTAGGGACAGGAGGCAGGACCTGAGCAGGGTGCTTGTGAGGACAAAGCAAATACCCAAAGGGAAAATTGTGGAAAAGACATTTTCATCCCGCACTGAGTTTTCTGATACATTATTAAGAGTCTCACTCTCCAGGATTTTTTTTTTATATATATTACTTTTCAAAAACCAATCCACTTGAAAATACATTCTAAAGTGATTTTAAATGCTTGCATTTTGTCCAAATTTTGATTTACTTAAACTGCAGATAGTCTTAATAGACTTTTTTTTTTTCTTTAAAGACATATTTTGCACTGCTGTGATGTACTATTAGTTAAAAACTGGAAAACTTTCCAATGTTTCATTTTTTTAAAAATGTAAAGCGTGTACCAAAGATCTTGGCAAACAAAAGAAGCTCAATAAATGTCAGTTCTCCAGTTCCTTCACCTTCATTTGTTGTCTGCCTTCTTAACACGTTTTTGGTTTTTTTTTCTGCTTTACCTCTATTTTTCTTTGATTCTGGTCTATCCTTGTAAACTTGTTGATTTGGGCCAGTGCGGGAGGGGAGAAGGCAAAGTGTGAAAACAATCGGAACTGGCCAGCAGAAGAGGTAGATCTACCCAGGCTATGAACCACTTCCCTTTTTCAGCAAACACTTACCAAAAATAATTATAAATCAGGAAATTCCTGATTGGGAGTGACTGATATATGGAGGAAAAGTTCTGGTAAAATAAGGCTTGGAATGTTATTCATGGTTTTCTCTTACATGCACTGTTTAAATAGAAGAATTGGGATTTTTATTTTAGAGAAAGGAAAGTCATGGATTTCTGGATGTTAACTGCTTTTACTAACAGGAAGTTCCCTGTTGTTCCACATTTTCCAAAGGTGCTATTCATTGTTCTTAACAGCAGGGTGGTGAAAGTTGGCCTCAGCTCTGTGGCCACTGTTTATCTAGGACATGCTCTGGCTTTCCCTGAGGTACTTTAGTTCTCTCCAGTTTCCAGAAGTGAGGCAGTGGGGAGGGCACACAGCAGCTTCGAGAAGGTTTCGAGAGCCCCAGACAACGTCTAGAGTGCCAGGAAGTTCCTGTTTCCTCTTTAGAACTGGAGGCGTCGATGAAACATCTGGGACGTGAGGACCCGGTGTTCCCCAAAGTGACTCAGGTTTAACAGCGAGGGCTGGGCTTTGGAGAGGCGCCATCCCTTTCCCTGTGCTCCCTGCTGCATCCCATTCCCTGTCCTGCCTCAGGTGGCCTTGGGTCTCCACTGAAGAGCGTGAGTTCTTTATTCGCCCTGCCACTAACCATCCTGTAGAATAAACTAAAGGAAGGTTCATCTTCTAGGTGTCCAAATTTCTCCCGCAGCTGATGGAAAACTAAATGGAATTCAGATCAGGAGGAGAGGGATAAGACAGTCCACTTAAGTTTAATTTTCCTTCCTACCATCTTCCATGAGTTCTTTGAGGTGATGGCTGCTGCTTAGACTCCTGTTTATCTCCCCAACCCCAAACCAATTTTCTTTAAAATTATTTTGAGTTAACATTCTAGTAACCCAAAAAAACAAAGGAGTCAATTGAATGACCAGTAAATAAATACCTGTGTTATCTGTTGAAGTGGGGTATCCCCTTTCCCACTAGGTGTCGGGGGTGGGGTCCTTAAGATATTTTGAGAAAAAGAATTTTTTCTGAGACTAGCATAGGAGGAAGAGTAATTTTTATTTGCATGGAATTACACTCCTGAGTTTCCAAAGTCCAATTTCCTTAATCCAGTCCTGGAAGAAGTATAACTGGGGCTTCAGCAGAGATAAAAGCAAAGCCAGTGTCCAGAGTTCCTGTTCCATGTTAGAATTGGGTCCGGTTTCGTATTAGGCTAGTTGCAGTCCATTAGTCCATTGTGTGGGGTCCGCATGGCTGTGGGCCATGTGAACGAGTGCAGGGGAGCCAAGAGAGTGCACCCCCTGTGACAAGAGTCCCAAGAGAACCAAGTGAGCCAGGAGCCAAGAGAGCAAACTCTTTTGTTTCGGGGATTAAATATTCCAAATCTTCCAGCACTTGCAGTAGCCACTCCTGCTCTGGCCTGTGACCTGTTCCCAGGTGTGACTGACAGCACGTACCTTCCCTATGTCACTCAGACTTGACTGGGCCTGCGTCTCTTCTCCCCGTGTCCAGTCCCTTCCCCCAGCGATCTTCGGTCTGCGGGGAATAGACCGGTGGCTTCCTGGGGAGTGTTAAACTGCAGCTTCCTTGCAAAGCTGCACAAATGACATGCCTAGACTATTTGGCCTTCCCTTTGCTCCTTTCCTGCTATTAATAACTAGGTTAATTACAAGGGCATCATATTGACACAATCTCTTTTATGCAAGCACATTGCACTTTGCAGAGAGCACACCTGATAGAAAATGGAGCTAAACTCATTGAATACCTATTGCTGAGAAGATAAGGTCGTCTTATTTAACCCTCCGGCAATCTTATATATTAGTTGCTTACTTTATGAAAAGAAGAAGTGGCAAGGTTAAATAACCCACCAAGTTCACACAGTTAGTTAGTGGCGGGATTAAAAGTCAAACCCAGGTTGGACTCCAAGCTCATCTCCTCCCTGCCCCGGCCTGCTCTCCGCCCGTCCTCAGCAAACCTCACCGGCTCTGTTGTATTTGTTTTCTCTCTTAGTGGACGAGTGTTCGTCTGACTACACAGTTGTGCTTCCGGTGATTGGGGCCATCGTGCTTGGGCTCTGCGCTGTGGGTTTGATTGTCTATGGAGTGCGCCTAAGGCGTGAATCATCTGGATACCAGAGAATCTAATTGGTGCCCAGGGGAAAAGAAAATAACGGAGCTTAGAGAATTCTTGCATCGTTTCCAGGACACTGGGGACTTCCCTTAGAGTGGGGGTCCTTCCGACAATGTAAACCATCTTTCACAAAAACCGAGTCATTTCTGATTTAAGTTCAAGCAGCACATCAATTTCTATTTTTTTTTCATTTTATGAAAGATCTAGTGAGCTGTTTAAGAGTATTTTCTAGTTTCCTTCAAAATATTTTAACCATTCAAAGTCAGTATTTGAGATACATGAAATTAACATAGCTTGGGTAAAGTGGTATATGCTGCCAATTTATAAACCAAAGTATCAAATGTAATTAATGCTACCTGTGTTCACATTGGGGATTTTATTTTATTCTTGATCTTTTCCATTTTAAAAAATGCCTTGCTTTGTCTATAAAATGGAATTACAGTATTTTACTATTTATGTTTTATATGACCACCATATGCCTGGTGATCTACTAACTCCTTCCCACTTTAAATGTTTTTAAAAAATCATCAAAAGGAACAACATTTCACAGGTAGCCTAGCTTTTTTATCTGACACCAACAAGAGGAACAAATCAGCTTTTTTTTTTTTTTTTTAACTCTGGATGACTTCTGCTCCAGAATCACTAAAGACTAAGAATTAGGTGACTGTGAACAGAAGAATTAAATAATAAGTGAGAAACAATAATAACGACCCTTAATTATTGAACATATATGTGCCAGACACTAAAGTTTACATAATTTAATTTATGTAATTTACATCATTTAATTCTCATGCCTCATAGATGAGTAAACTCAGACTTAACAAAATTAATCACTAAATGCCACCCAGCTAACTAGTGGCAGAGCCAGGACTTGACTACCCATTGGTCTGGCACCGAGGTCTCTGGTCTTTTCACTATACCAAGTTGCCTACAAATACAAATGATACTAAGTCCTGCCCAAAGCTCCACACTGGCATATGTTCCTGTTTACACAGGAAATAAATTTATCCAGAATCATGACAGATGAGAGTAGATTAAAGGAGGACTTGACTGGTAATAAAGTAGCCTATCTCCACCCTTAAAGGAGATGGGTGGGCTTTACATTAGTCAGCTTCTCACTTTAATGGGATTGTTTAGCTGTGGCTCTAAAGATAATGAAATGGAGTAAACTCAAGGTATTTTTTATTTCTTTGAAAACAGCAATTTTCTAACTGCTAGCCAACTTTTCTTCCTTGAATGTAGATCCCCCTCTAGTGGTAAGTTGCTTCTTCTGCACTTTTATAGCCACATTTTCCATTCTAGTTCACTTTATTCTGTGAAGCAGTCTGCCAAAAAATAATACTTGCGCTTGTTTTTACTGCTAAACAAAGGAACTAAGTCAGGACATTAGCAGAAAGATCACATGCCTCTAGCATTCTTTAGTAAAAGAGTAAGTCCAGTCACCCCAGAGGACATATTGACTTTCCTGACTGGTCCTCTTAAGAGTCAATATTGGCAAGGTCCTGACTTCAGTCTTAATAGAATATTGAATTGTATTAAACATTTTTGTAATAAAAACCTATCTTGGAGGTTCATTTATTTCTTATAATTCAGTTTTTCTGTTTGTGTTGTTTAAAAGTTTTTGTTTACACTCTTAGTGGTTGGTCTTTAATATGGAGGTTGTCACTTGAATCAACAAGTTAAACCATCTTTCTACATATAATTTATCTTGTTCTATTCTTCATTGCCACATTATTACCAAGTAGGAAGACCTATTTGAGACAAACTTAATTTCTGAGGAGGTAAACCACATTCAAGGTACAAATTAAATCTCTCAACTCTTAGTCCAGACTAATTAATTGGATTACTGGTTTACTTAAATTCTGTCATCATTTATTCATTCATTCATTTATTCAGCCAACATTGATTAAGGACTTACTAAATGCCAGACACTCTGGTAGGGGCTGAGATAAATAAGATGTCCTGTATTAGTTAGCTATAGCTGTATAACAAATTACTCCAAAACTTAGCAGTTTAAACAACAAACATTTATTATCTCAGAGAGTTTCTGAGGGTCAGGAATATGGAAGCAGCTTAACTGGGTGGTTTTGGCTTAGGTTTTCTCACTGGGTGAGTTAAGCTATTGGTCAGAGCTTCATTCATCTGAAGGTTCACCTGGGGCTGAAGGATCTGCTTCCAAGTTTACACCATGTGGCACATCCATAGGGAGGCTCACCACATGACAGCTGGCTTTTCCCAGAGTGAATGATCCAAAAGAGAGACTGACTACCTAATCACAGAGTGACATACCACTACTTCTGTTGTATTCCATTGGTCACACAGACCACCCTGGTACAGTGTGGGAGGGGACTACACAGGGTGTGAATACCAGGAGAGAAGGAAACCAAGGGGGACCATCCTGGAGGCTGACTACTCCAGGCTCATTGTCAAGGCACA